GGCCAGTGTCATCGGAGGACGGTGACCATGATTTCTGCTTCTTAAAAAGCAGCTTCCAGATATCCTTATGCGTTGTGCCGTAGAACCGTTGTAGGGTCCGCGACCCTTCCGGGTTGAACTCCCACATCTTGAGGGGCCGCCTCTAGCAGGGAAGTGCTCGGCGGATCAGCATCACTTGGACTACGTCAGAAAGGGTAACGTCCTTCGCTATCATGCTCTTGATGTGCTTCTGCAGCCGCACAACCTCAGGCACCGACCCCCAGTTCAGACTCTTGTCGGTCCTGGATGTAAGCCTCAATGGGGGTCCGGATCTAAAGGCTGGTGTGGCCGCCCACTTGGAGCCACGGGGTTCTGTAATGTAGAACCATTCCTGTTGCCATATTTTGAGGTGTCCACAAAGACTCCCTTTGGCCAATTAACTTTGGGAAGCTTGCTCACCATGGCGCCACCACGGTCCGCATGTTGCCCATTGACCACCTTTGGTTTCACATTAAAAATCTTGAACCATAAGAAGAAATGTGTAGAGGCACGGAGGAAGGCTTCACACATGACGATAAACGCCGAGATGTGAAGGAACGAATTTGGGGCTACATCGTGAAAATCCAGCCCGTACTAGAACATGAGACCCCTTTTAAAGGGGTGAAGGGCGAATCTGAGTCCATGGAGGAAGTGGGGGATAAACACCACCCTCTCACCGGGCCCCGGAGTGGGGATGACCTACGCCGGATCGGGAAGCATGTGCTTGATTTCCGCGGTCAAATGTCGCGCTTCCCACAGCTCCTTGATGTTCTCCTCCGTGACGGAGGAGGGCACCCACTTGCCTTGAGAACCGACCATGGTCGGAGGAGTTGTCGGGAAGGGAAGAGCTTGGAGTTTGGGCGCTGGAGCTCGGGGATGGGGTGGAACAGATGGGTTCTATCCACTTATATGGACTACGAATATCAAGCGTCCCCTCCCTCGAGCATTAAAGCTTGCCTATTTCCAAGGGGTCGTGTGAAATGGCGCAGTTGCATTTCCCATACCCATATTGATGAGAATCCCATAATAAGGGGACACGTTCTCTGCTTTGACAAGACGTGTCGTCGGTGGTTGTGTCTCGAAACACGAAACGGGAGGCTGAAAAACGGTTGGAAATAATAGAATGGCCGGACGTAACCTCTCACCAGTGAAATCATTGGAGGACAGAATTTATCTGTGTTCTAATTCAGAGGTATCATTGTTGTACACAGCCGGATATAGTACTGACGATTAACTGCTTTGAAGAATTCGAAGGAGGAACCCACCTTGCAATGCCGAAGACAACCTACGCGCGGAACACATCGTCATTGAAGACTGATTCAGGGGCTACTGAGGGAGTCCTGGATTATGGGGTCCTCGGTGTCCGGGCTACGTGACGTGGGCCGAATAGATAGGTCGTGAAGATACAAGATAAGAAGGCCTTCCCTCATGTCCGGATGGGACTCTGCTTGGCGTGGAAGGCAAGCTTAGCGTGCGGATATGAATATTCCTTTCTCTGTAAACCGACTCTGTACAACCCTAGTCCCCTCCGGTGTCTATATAAACTGGAGGGTTTAGTCCGTAGAGACAGTCATAATCATATAGGCTAGACATCTTGGGTTTAGCCATTACGATCTCGTGGTAGATCAAATCTTGTAACCCCTATACTCATCAAAGTCAATCAAGTAGCACGTAGGGTATTACCTCCTTTAATAGGGCCCGAACCTGGGTAAACATCGTGTCCCCTGTCTCCTATTACCTTTGATCCTTAGAAGCACAGTCCGGGACCCCCTACCCGAGATCTGCTGGTTTTGACACCGACAACAGCGACCCATTACGGTGGATGCCACGTGTCGGTTACCCTTGATGAAAACACTTCCATCACACGCCATTTATCGTTATGGAAGTGGTCACTTCCGTGATGATAATTTTAGTATTGTCATGGAACACTTCTTTGATAGCACAGGTATGACTATCTTGATTCTGACATAAAATCGTCATGGATGTACATGCATGACAGAAAACGTGACCTACTATGACAAACACATATCATGACGGAAGTGATTTTTTTGTATTGTAGGCTGTTCAAACAGGCGGGCTGTGATACGTCCATTTTGCATCATGTTTTCCTATTGTTATTTATAGTGTTTTTATGTAATATAACAGTTTGTGAAGTAATTATAATGCCTTTTCCATCATAATATGCAAGGTTTACACAAAGGGGGAGAATGTCGGCACCTGGAATTCTGAACCTGAAAAAGCTATGTCGAAGATACCTATTTTGCACATCTCCAAATGAGCTAAAATTTCACGAAGAATTATTTTGGAATATATAAAAAAATACTGGAGAAAAAAACTACTGGAGGGGGCCAGCCAGGTGCCCACTAGGCAGATGCACCCTGGTGGGCAGTGGGGGCCCAAACCCACCTCTGGTGCTCATCTTCTGGTATATGATGTCTTTTGACCTAGAAAAATAAGGAGAGCACTTTCGGGACGGAGCGCTGCCGTCTCGAGGCGGAACTTGGGCAGGAGCACTTTTGCCCTCCATTGAAGCGATTCCGCCAGGGGAACTTCCCTCCCGGACGGGGAAATATTAGCCATCATCATCACCAAAAACCCTCTCATCTTTGAGAGGCCAATCTTCATCAACATCTTCAACAACACCATCTCATATCAAAACCTAGTTCATCTCTTGTGTTCAATCTTTGTATCAAAACCTCAGATTGGTACCTGTGGGTGACAAGTAGTGTTGATTACATCTTGTAGTTGATGCTAGTCGGTTTATTTGGTGGAAGATTATATGTTCAGATCCATTAAGATATTTATTACTCCTCTGATCTTGAGCATGAACGTGTTGTGTGAGTAGTTACTTTTGTTCTTGAGGACACGGGAGAAGTCATGTTGCAAGTAATCATGTGAGTTTGATATGTGTTCTATATTTTGATGATATGGATGTTGTGATTTCCTTAGTAGTGTTATGTGAACGTCGACTACATGACACTTCACCATCTTTGGGCCTAAGGGAATGCATTGTGGATTAGTTATTGGCTGATATGTTGCTAGAGTGACAGAAGCTTAAACCCTAGTTTATGTGTTATTCAGTAAGAGGCTGATTTGGATCCATATGTTTAATGCTATGGTTAGATTTTATCTTAATTCTTCTTTTGTAGTTGTAGATGCTTGCGAGGGGGGGGGGGTTAATCGTAAGTTGGAGGCTTGTTCAAGTAAGAACAACACCCAAGCACTGGTCCACCCACATATCAAATTATCAAAGTAGTGAACGCAAATCAAACTAACATGATGAAAGTGACTAGACAAAATTCCCGTGTGTCCTCAAGAACATTTTACCTATTATCTGGGATTGCTCCGGCCCGTCCTTTGCTACAAAAAGGATTGGGATACCTTGATGCACTTATTGTTACTATTGTTACTTGTTACTTGCTACAAATTATCTTGCTATCAAACTACCTGTTACCAAGAATTTTAGTGCATGCAGAAATTACCTTGCTGAAAACAACTTGTCATTTCCTTCTACTCCTCGTTGGGTTTGACACTCTTACTTATTGAAAGGACTACGATTGATCCCCTATACTTGTGGGTCATCAGGCTGTTGTGGATGGGCTACCGCGTGAAGCTTCTACTGCTAGCGAGATGAGGTCAGCAGAGAGAGATAGATCACATGTAGCTCATGAGTTAGAGAAAGAGAGAGAGAGGATAAAGAGAGATTTTTTATTTTTCTGTCGGGTCCCACGTGTAATTGGTAGAGGTGGGTTGGAGAGTTTTTTTCTTTTCCCTTTTCTTTGGGTGAGTCCCCACATGTATATGACATAAGCAGTGAGGGGTACAAATGTATAAAGAATAGCTCATAGACGGTTAAAGGCCTTTGACTAGTGGAAATGGCATGAAGGGCATTTCTGTAAGGCCACCAAATAGAAGAGGGGCAAACTTAAGAACATGATTTTTTTCAAGCTAAAGATGAGAGTGTGTGCAAATTAGATGTTTTTGGAATTGTCCCTTTTGAGTTAATGCATTCATGTCAATAGAAGGAAGAAAATAATGTGGTTGCTTGTTTGACCCTCACTAATTAATACGTACATATCTAGTGATAAATAATAACTAAAAGGCACTAATTAGATATTAGAAACTAGACATGATGCACTAATGGTTTTACACTTCTAGATTAATTTATCAATAGTTTTACTTATGTTGTCATGAATAGGATATAATCGATTCTGTTTACCGGAGAATTTTTATATTTCTTTTATGTAAGAATTTCTTCCTCGAGCAAATAATATGGTCCTGATTATTCTAATGCAACCACAAAGTGGACATGATATCAAAGGTTTTATTATGTGCAACACTAAATATTAGTCATTTTGATGGAATTAAGTGAATATGTTATCTTTATTTAGGATATTTCATTATATACATTGTATATCTTTTTATTAAATATCATTTGCAAACATTTCCATATCTATTAATTTGTGAATATAAAATAAGTAACCCCTCTTGATGGGCCAGCCCAGTTACCCACCCCTCCCCTTGCGCGCTATAAATAGTGACTCCCACAATCCTTTTTTAACCTAGAAGTCAACCACACCCCTTCCCTCCCCCTTCATACCCGCCGCCACCTAGAATGAAACCCTAAACTTGTTCTTCCCTTTCATTCTTTCACCACCAAACATCTATTTGTCATCCTCACGGTGGAACCAGCCCAGGACCAGTCCCACTCTAGTCACTGTTTTTTTAATTTGGTCAATTTCCCATCGTCTCTTCCAGAAAGAAAGACAAGATCTCCATCGGACATAAATCGTAACCAAATCTAGAGGTATGAACACCTTTTTCAATATATGAGAAGTTTTATTAGTCTCCTCGAATTTAGATTATTATGCTTGCAGTAAATTCCATTGCATACCTAACTTTACTTATTAAATTGTTAAAAACATATGCAGCGCCTTGATCAGACGAAAGGGATCTATCTATTTTTGGTATCTTCATAGATCATGGACATTTTTTGCTCCCATGCCAGCACAAAATGGAGAGACTGGGCCAAACTATGTACAGATCTTGCGAAGGAAATCTCCAATCGGCTACTCACCTTTGACATTGCAGACTACATCCGCTTTCGGGCAACTTGCAAGCCATGGCGTGACTTCACTGATGACCCCCGCACATGTGATGCGATGGACATCCGCTTTCGCCCACGCAACTGGATCACGCTCGCTCACTGTGCATCCCCGTCACGTCGTACCCTTCTCAATGTCACCACCGGTGCCCGTACCAACATTGACTTCCCGGATCTAGACACCCACCATTTCCTCAGCACGGCCGACGGCCTCCTTGTCCTTGGCCATAAGCGCACTAATACCATTCGTCTTCTCCACCCATTCACCGGTAAGACCACTGAGTTCCCTTCACATTGCGCACCATCCACATCGAATAGGCACCTCCGAGTGAACTTATCTGCCATCAACGGTGCTGGCATCGATGACTCAACTATTCCTAGTACGCTCGTTATTAGCCTGAGAAATGGTTTGCGTCAAGTTATTTGTGCCAAGCCTAGCGACAAGCTTTGGGCTTTTGTGCAAGCTATCGACCAACGCTCGGCTAGCTTTCTTGACAAGGTTAGAGGCCATTCACCGCTGACCTTTGGAGGGCGATGCTACTTCACGACATCGGACGACATGATAATCGCATTGGATTTGACTCCTGGGGTTGAACCTCATATGGTTTGCCTCCTCGATAAAGACCCACAGTTGGTGAACCATCATGAAACAATAGTTTACCCCTATCTTGGTAGGTCCCATGATCGAATGCTCATCGTGAGGTACCTCTTCGGTAGGAACCTTCTCCAGGAAGGTGGATACAATGAAGAAGATATATTCATGTGGCAAGATTGCCCATCCCATATGGAGGTGCTTGAAGTGGACCTCCCTAGGAGGAGATTGGTGACACAACATGGAATTGGTAGCCATTGTGCAGCATTCGTTGGCGCATCTCACACAGTCATGGTATCCACTGAGAAATTCCCTCGGATCATTTCCAATGCGGTGTACCTCAACTATCATATGCAAGGAATATTTCGTCATTTTGCTGCCTACTGCTTTGAAGATAAGACAACTATATCCGCAAAACACTTTCTCAATCGTTGAATTGGCAAAAACTCTCCTTGTGCTTGCCACTGGGAGCTTGAAGATTATCTTATGTGTGATGTTGAGAAGGGATATCGTATGTAAGGTCATAAATTCACTAGTTGTGGCATTTATGGGCAACTCATTTGCTTCAAAAATAAAATGTTTATTCTGCTATGTAATATTTCATCCTAGATGTAGTTGCATCAATAAAGAATGGGAGGCTCCCTCTCTCAAATGTTAAAACTATTGTATATGGAACCTTCTAATTTCCTAGTCGCTTGAGAAATAGGTCATTTATTAGAAACATTTCTTCTCTTGAATAGATCATTTGCTTAATCCGCTTCACACGAAAATTCCTGGTAATCAAGCCATATCTTACCATCATGATTTAGCTATTAAGTCGATGACCATATGTCACATCCCAAAATTCAAAAACTAGGATCTGAACATATAATACATATGCATGCCATGTTTTCACTGCATTTTGGATCTTTGGAAGTTAATCTAGTTATATAAGGAACTAGAATTTAATTTTGAGATTAGTTTAATATTTCATATTAAGTCCACTTACATAACATGATTCCTCAAACCCGCATTGGGGCTGCAAATATATTTCCTATGATCTATAATAGCTCCAATATTTTCACGCTAGTTTTTATATTTTAGGATTTGAATTTGGAAATATTTAAACCTAGTTCAAAACTCATAACACAGATTAGAGAGAAAATAAAAAAGGAGTATTCACTATGTCGACGGCGTTGCACAATAGCACTTCCCAGCCGGCCACCACCGCACTTTTGGCCCACAACCTACTCACCCAGCTAGCCTCGTATGCACAACACGACTAACTTGTAGGCATCTAATCTTCATAAGATCAAATGGTGGATAACATGCCCGATCCCCAGCGGCCACTGACAGTGGGCTGACCCCATCATCATCAATCTTTTGTGATTTTGCCAGCGCATGTACCGCCGCATGATCCCAAACTCAGTATGATGCAGCGCCCCAACGGCCATCCCAACCCCATGGTTAAATAGGCATCGATGCCCTAGACCGATCATTGGGACCGCAGTCCCTCAGTTCCACCAGGTTGCTCGCAAACCACCCACTTCCACTACCTCCATAGCCAACTCTGGCAAATGATTCTGGTGAGCCCATGTAAATCCCTTAACCACCCTTCTTTCCATTCCACCCATGCACTCCAGCAAAACATTCTGACAACATTATTATGTCCTAAACAACCCCGGAGCACGACTTTGACCACCTTGATGCACTTCAACCGCCATGATCTCCATTCCAGTGAGTTAAGGATGTGGTCAGGCCTCTGACCTTATCCAATTGCTCAACTGTGACATTGCACATCATGTTGACCCATCAACGTGACCATATATAGGACTGACATCACTAACTCTAGTGAAACCTGGACACTTCCGACGCTGAACGCAACTCTAGCGAGGAATTTTGGCCAACGTTGGTGAGCCCTCGCACCACTGTCACCATCGTGTCACCTCACTCTGGACCATATATAGAACCGTAGTTGTGATCCACCTTATTTGATGTCATCTCCATGGAGAAACTCTGCCTGGCCAGACCCTAGAGCTGACGTGGCCACCCCAGGGCGTCCATTAAGCTAGATCACACACCGACATTTTAATTCAATTAAACTGGTACATTTAATTTAGAGTTGTCCATTATCCCACAATTTGATGAAATAGATTTATCATGATTCTGACTTTTTGAGTTAAATTAAAGCAATATTAATTATTTACCTTTGTAGAAAAGATCCTACAACTTAAAACCATCATAACTTTTTATGTGTAAGTCCATGTTAGGTTATTATTTTTACATATTGACCCTCATTAGATGCACTATTCAACGGTACCAATTCAAATTTGAGTGAAACTTTCCATAAAATGGTCCTTTAGATGTTAATTTTCATACTCCAACATTTAAATTTGAACCTAACCAAACTTCAGATTCATAGCGGAAACTACTGCCATTGTAATAATTTTCGCTCTATTTTCAATGACATGGCAAAGTTTCACGAATCCTCCCATGGCAGCCATTTTCTTTTGTCATGGAAGAGGTTTTGGAACCATTTCAAAATGTTTTTTGAATTGATTGTAACTGTCGGAATATAAATTAGATTTTGTGAATTCTTTTTTTGTGTTCCAAAGGTTCACAAATGACCAACAGAACCTTATCACCCTAGTTTGAACTTTCAATTTCAAACTTATGTAAGTTTGAATTAAAACCTCATTTGAACCTAGTATTTATATAACATGTCGTGATAAAATGAATATTTTTTATAAATATATCAAAATGTTGATCACTATCTATTTGAACTTGTGAGACCAACTCTAACCTATCACGTTTGAAATATTTCAAATTTTAATTCAAACCTAGTTGAATCATAACTACCAACCCCAATTGAATTTCAACACAAATCCTTTTTTACATTCATTTAAATGTTGAATCCAAACCATTCAAACCTTCTGAATTCAAGTGGGGTCATTAAAAATTGAATTGCTTCAAATGTGAATAAACCCTTGTTTGACCTTAATTGAAAAACTACATACCCAAATGCCATAATTTTCTTTTGTACATTGGATCATGTGTTGTCCCTTAACTAATATTTGGTTATTGTTGTTTTTATGCAAGTTTTCCCTTCACATGAATTATCGGTTCTTATGTAAGTCCTCTTTTTAAGTATAGATCATTAGGAGTGCAAGCCCTACTATTGTGAAGAGTGTACCTTTGACAGCAACAACCATGGCAAGTGGATCATTTTGACAATATCACCTTATTTTCATTATGGATGTAGTACTCCATGATAGGGTGTGAGTTTAGGACTAAACTATTAATATGTTATGCTATGAAACATAGTAGGATAGCCATATTATCTGTACCATGTTCCTTGTCGCGAATGTGTAGTTACACTACTTGGCGTTGTTATGATTATAAATAGGTATGGAGCACCAGTTGTGAAACATGATACTTTACTTATGGATATTTAACGACAACTTCACTTAGTGAGTCATCTGGGCGTATTGGTTATTGGGGTGAGCAAGTTCAAGTTGGTGGGGTCCGCTGCCCAGGTTCAAAGAGATTGTACGAGTTCCAAGTTGAGTGGCTTCCATGTGTAGTTGCGTTTAATTATGGATCCTAGATTATCTAAGTAAATTGTGGGTACCTAGCCCATTATAGATTTAGGTCTTGATAAGTTGAAAGGGTCAGACAAGGTGGACTAGGGGATCTACTTCCCAAAGTCCTCGGCTTGGTCTTCTCGGTTCACACCTTGAGTTTGGTTGACTAGCGACTAACTAGGTCATGCAGGTAAAGTACACAAACCTCTCAAGAGTTTCAAATGTTATCATGATTAGCCACATCCTTGAATATGGACAACTTTGAGTAACTTGGCCAAAAACTTGTAACATCCCAATTTTCAATTTGGATGTTATACATAGGTCATCTGCATATCATATTTTATTTGCATTTTGGTTGTGATCCTAGAAATCTTAAGCAACTCAAGGACCCAAGGAGAGAGTTGGAGGTTCCACAAATTTTCATATTTGAGTTTTCTCAAATTTGAAAAGGGGATCAATTTGATTTTTAAATATTTTTCTCTCCAATTATTTCCAATAATAAAAATAAGTGAGACAAGATAAAATGACTTCTTCAACAAGAGGGAAATATAGGAGAAGAAATTTTAAAATCAAACTATTATTTTATTTTCATGGAGGCCATACTCACAATGGGGGAAGCTCACATAACCATAGTGTCCCTAAGAATGGTAATGGGAATGGAGGAAACAACGGTCAGAATCGTTACAACCCCACTACACCCGCCAAGAAGGAACTAAGTCACATTACTTGTTTCAAGTGCGGGAAGACTGGACACTACGCCACCGAGTGTCTTGAAGCAAAGAATGGAAATGGCAATGGAAGCTCTGGGAAGAAGCCCAACCCTTTCCCCAGAGGACAAGTGAACCACGTTAACATGGAGGAGGTTGAAGAACAGCCAGATGCAGTTATCGGTAAGTTTTTGATTAATTCATTTACGGCTAATGTTATTTTTGATACTGGTACATCGCATTCATACATATCGAGGGGATTTGTGGATAAGTATAAGTTGCCCACCAAAGTTCTTAAGACACCTATGTTAGTAAGCTCACCTAGAGCGGAGTATATGATAAGCATAGGATGTTTTCAGATGCCATTGACCATAGGTAGGCATGTTTTCCCCTCAGACCTAATAATTTTGGAGTCACAATGATTGGATGTGATACTAGGCATGGATTGGCTATCGATGTATGGAGGAAATATCGATTGTGCTAGTAAGTCAATTCTACTCACCACCCCGGAGGGTAAATGGATTAAGTATGTATCACAACATGCACCAAGGAGGACCCAAGTAAATTCCCTCTCAGGAGTTGTTCAAGAAGAAGTGCCTGTTGTGAAGGATTACCCGGATGTATTTCCAAAGGAATTACCAGGCATGCCGCCAGATCGAGACATAGAATTTTTGATAGAGCTGTTGCCAGGCACCGGACCAATATCGAAGAGACCATATCAGATGCCCGCCAATGATCTGGAGGAAATCAAGAAGAAGATTAAGGAGTTATTGGAGAAAGGTTATATCCGACCAAGCTCATCACCGTGGGGAGCTCCAGTGCTCTTAGGTGAGAAGAAGGATGGATCTTTGAGAATGGTTGTTGATTATCGAGCATTGAATGAGGTGACGATCAAGAACAAGTACCTACTACCGATGATCAATGATCTATTTGACAAACTGCAGGGAGCTAAAGTATTCTCCAAGATTGACATTCGATCAGGATGCCACCAATTGAAGATCCGACAACAGGATATACTTAAGACAACCTTCACCACAAGGTATGGGCTATATGAGTACACGGTCATGTAATTTGGATTGACTAACGCCCCTGCCTATTTTATGAGTATGATGAACAAGGTGTCCATGGAGTTCTTGGATAATTTTGTTGTGGTGATCATTGATGA